GGGTCGGGTGGCGCGCGCCCACGACCTGCGGACACGAATGCAGCTCCGGATTAATGGGTTCTTAATCTGCTACATTTTTATTTTTGAACAATTAAAATGTAATATTTATTTTTGAACAATTAACATGTGATAAACATTTTGTAATGGTTAAGAGAATTAAATTTTGAAACGGTAATATTCATGAGATTTAAATCAGAATCAAAACGGAAAAAGAATTTTTATGAGAATTAAATCGGTAATTAAAATGAAAACGGATTTTTATTAAATCGGTAATTAAAACCGAATCGAGTTTTTATGAGAATTAAATCCGCGGGATTTGTAACGGTTGTTTTTTTCCCCTATAAAAACCAACACCTGCCGAAGGCTAAAGACACAGATTTACAAACGAATTTCTCCTCTTCTTCTCTTTCAAAATATTTGCTATTATATTCTGTTGGTTCCCTGAAAGTCTAGAAGAGTTCGCAAAGCCTTCTTGAAGCTCGTGCCGACGAGAAGGAGGTCGCCTGACCGAGGGTCGTTGTATCTCCGAGAACTTTTGTCGCGTTGCCCTGTACGAGAGGGGGCAATTAGATTCTTGGGACAGTGCTTGCACGCCTCGACCATCAGGCCGTATTTCTAACTTTTATTTACTTTCATTTGATTCAATTTCATTTCTGAGTTATAATAGTTATATGTTTTTATCTAATTTCTATTAACCATTTCAAACTAAATTTCGTGCTAATTATTGTCTAAACATCTAATATTCCCAACAAGTGCAAACTTTCCAAGTGAATGGATATGAAAGGCTCAGGGGCCACCACTAGCAAAAAGCACAGGTTTAATCAAGGAGAGTTGAGCCAGAGAATGCTAGGGTCTCCATTATTGCAGAACTCAACTCAAAAGGAGAAGGAAACAGAGGGAGAGAGAGAGAGAGAGCAATCACGATCAAACATTTCTTGTCCACTTTGAGTTTTTGGACTGAACGGTAGCTAATGAACCAGCTATCAACCTCAAAGTACTTCTAGTTGTTATGAAGGACTCCCCAAGCCTTTCAATTATTTTCCCTTTGTAACACTGTAGTCAACTAGTATGGTAGGCGAACTTATTGTAGTGTTTTATATGAAATTATTGTTGTCATGCATGATGAATATTTAACAATGATAATCAACCGATATCTATTATCCAATAAAAGTAATAATAATAATAATAATAAAGAGAAAGCAACCTTTAGAAGAAACTCTCTCTCCATGGTAAGAACGGTGAAGGGATCCATCTAGTACTAATATATATATATATAGACACACACGTACACAAATATCTTATTCCTATAACAAATGATAGATATTTCATTTCTCCAACTTGATTTGTAGTGGGATTTAAATTCGCTCCACTACAAAATAATAATAATAAATAAGTAAAGAGACCATTGTAATATCACAATTATTGATTTGCTTAGCGCTAGTGGTGATTCATTCTATATCTAACAGTTACTATACCTCCATGAATTGCACTATTTTCTTGATTTACACTCAAAAGTCAAATCATAACCATTCGCTAAACAAATCGATTGGTATTACAAAGTTCTCTACACTAATTTTCTTGTAGTGGAGATGATCTGAATCCTTTATAGCGACATTCAATTTGAGCAATTAGTTGTGGATGTATGGATAATATATAAATTTCTAATTTGGCATCCGAAAATTATTACTTTTTAAACTTAGGTTCATATTTAAAGGGAAACCCTATTTCACCAAATGATTAAGTTATAATAAACTTTAAATATGTTGCTTACTTGCTAAACCTTCCATCTTACATGATTTTACGGTCATGCTCTACATTCTTGTTACATAATTTAGTTTTTGAGAAGGACTTCTCACCTTCACCTCCTAGTTTAACAAAACCAATGAATAAATAATTACACCATTATTGCGCAATACAAAGCTTTTCTCTTTATGACACGACGCCAAGTCCTCCCGTCCAAATTTGTATAATTGTCTAATGCACCTTGGTGTGAGAAACATTTATTCCACGCCCATTTCGCTTTCATAAGATGCTTTAAAGATTGATATGAAGCCCAATCATAAATTTTACCATAAGAAACTCATCCTCTCCTTACCTTATACCATAACTTTTACCATAAAGATGCAAAACAGCATTCAAATGTATAGAACATTGAACAATTTTGCTTATTGTGCACTTTAGGCCCTGTTTGACAAAGGGTTAAGAAAGAGGGATTAAGGAGAAGGATTAACATAGTTAGCCCATTCGATAATCTGAATGACTAAATTATTAACCAGTTATAAAAGTTTTATTTTAACCCTTATGTTTGGGAATAGCAAAGATTTTGACTATTTTCTTTATAATTAGAATGGTTAATTTTTAATCATTCTAAATAGGAGTATTAGTAAACCCCTTATTTTGATGAGTTAACTCATTTTAATCCTTTTAGAGTGGTTAGCTTAACCCTTATATATTTTTTATGTTTGACAAATTATAGAGGGTTAACTCACTTTAACCATTGTACAGATTTTTTGTGTTTGGCGGGTTGAAAATGGGTTAAGTCTCCTTAGACTTAACCCCTCACTTAACCATTTGCCAAACGATACCTTGTTATCTGAGTGTCATTTTCCAATGAGCTATCCGTTCCCCTCTCCTATGTCTAAACAAGTATATGATTTTTTGGCACCATCTCAAGAATAATAGTTAGTAATAGAGTCTAAATTAAGAAGGAAAAATAATCACATATTTCGGTTTTAGATTGCTACGTTGCTATAGCTTTTTCAACACATTACACCAACAAAGACAGAACTATTGGATGTATAAATGTGTAAATTAATTCTAAAAATATTTTCATTTTTTCCACTCGAATTACATACATAGAAGTTTGGACTTATCGCTTCTATTTATGTAGTAGGAATTACAGAGACCCATAAAAGAGAAATACAACATTCATTTATTATCAATGAAAATTTTCACAAGAGAAAAAGAAGTTGTGGGCCTAATTGCAAAAAAAATGTGGCAAAACCGTAATTGTCACCGTTGATGGATTAATTCAACGGGGCTGAGCTTGCCGAGGTCAGTCATCGGATGAGCGCTAGTTACGTGGCCGAACACGTAACCGATATTCCCTGTATTTGTAGCCGCTACGATTCTTACACGTGTACGGTTGAGATCAACTCTCCCTCGTCCCACCTCTATAAATTGAGTCCAAAGTTCTCAACCGCATCAGGGCGAAAAATAGCTGAAGTCTGGTTAAAATTCTCCTTTTATTTTCTGAAGACTTCAGTTTTTTAAGGGAGAGAAAAAAAAAATGTCTTGCTGTGGTGGTAATTGTGGGTGTGGCGCTGGGTGCAAGTGTGGCAGTGGCTGTACAGGGTATACAAATTTGCTACTAATTCCTTGTTACAATTGTTTGATGAGTATTCCATTAAAATTTTCTTTTTTTGTGATTTTTGGTGTTAGTCTTCTCATTATGCACTATGAAGAGATTAGTGTTTCATTTACAAAATATTTTTGGCTAAAAAATCTATTTATTTTGTATTTTGATCTTTCTGGTCATTGTCGAACGTAACTGAGAGACCACTGTTTTTTATCATAACCGTATAATGAGTTCATTTCTAGCGGTCACTCGAGAATAATCACAACTATCGACTAAATAATAGAGAATTGTGACTAAAAAGAAAAAAAGATGGGTCCTTCAATATTTTTTGGAGTCACATATGATACAAGTTCACTTACTTTTTATGGGCTTCCTTTAAAAATTCATTTAATCTAGTGTGGAGAATATTTCTTTTCAAATTACCATGTGCATGTTAGTGCTTGGTATGTTATTCACCCGATTAATGCCTGGGGACCACAAATAGGAGACCCAAGTGGGGGGACAAGTGAGCTGCCCCCCCTCCAGTTGGATGATACACTGTTCATAAACAGTGCATCATCCAACTGGAGGGGGGCAGCTCACCTGTCCCCTTACTTGGGTAAGCGCCCTATTCACCTAATTCATCAGGAAAAAGAAAATGCGCTACAAAGTTTCTCTCCTCGTATACTATTTCAAATTCATGCTGTTCTCCCTTTTAATTAATATTGGATTTGTTGGGTGCAGATGCAAGATGTATGCTGATTTTGGCGAGGAAAAGAGCACCACCACTTTGACCACGGTCATGGGTGTTGCACCTCAGAAGGGGTTTGTCTCAATACTTTTATCTAATTGTTCTCAATTATTTGTAGTTGGTAGACATTTATTATGAAACCCCTTTCTTTAGGGGGCAAAAAAAATAGTTTATGATAGTTTTGTGCAAAATCTAACTTTGCGAGATTTTATCTGAATTAGCACTAGCTTCGTATATATTGTTAGTTCACAATATGGGTTTTTATCACTTTGATGCTCATCTAAAATTTAATTGTATTTTTTTTTTTGAAATTTAACTTTTGCAGAGGGTTTGAAGGATTTGAGATGGCTGAGGGAGCTGAGAACGGATGCAAGTGTGGGTCCAACTGCACCTGTGACCCCTGCAACTGCAAATGAGTATTAGCCGGCAAGAGAAAAAGATAAATAAGTTATTATAATGTTTTCTTGTGTGTTAATGCGGTGTGTCTTGAGGATGTTGAGGAAATCTAAGTGCTATGAATAAGAGGCCCTTTGGCTTCTGCTTGCAGCTTGTTAGCTTTCATTGCTCGTCTTTGGATGTTGTTGTTGTTGTGTTGGTGTTTGTTAAGAACTCATGCTGATCCCTAATGTAAAAAATGCTTCCTAATCAGTAAATGTCTGTGTTTCTAATTCTGTGGTACTTGATTTTGATTCTAGAAAGGGTATTTTAATAATTTTCAAGCGCTCTACTGGAAGAATCTATTGAGGGCATGTATATTATTATTATCAGATGATCTCAATGTATTGCAGAGAGACTTATCCTTTTAAAGTCGCTGAACACATAGAGTACGTGTACAGTTAATCGAGAAGTAAATGATACTTTCTGACTCGAAAAAAAAAGAGAAAAAAATAAGAAACAAATTTAACTGTGTTCTTTTGAGCAACAGAGCAAGCGTTTATCACTATTAATGAATAAATCCAAATAGCTTTACGATCAACAGTCAACTGCTACACTGCTATTACACTCAGATGTTACAACAAAGGGGCTACAGCTACTACTCGCACATAGTTCTCAGAAAAAAAGAAAAAGAAAAGAAAAAAACGCAACACAAACGTTGCCGTCGCAATTCAAATTACAAAGTCAAATGTGCAATTTAAACTCTCACACAAGACTTGTGGACATCCATCTCAAGCAAAGATTCCTCTCGCCGCTCTTTTAAACATATCTTGTACCTGTAGACAGAAAATTGACGGGAGTATTTATATAATTTATCTTGACAAAGAGGTCATACTCAAAGATTACTCATCGTGCAAGATAATCTGATAATGCAAATATAAAGTAAACATCGCTATCCGAAGAAAATTTACAAAAATCATCTGAAAAGGACTTGATGATGGTTTACCTGTTTGGATGATAGACCAATCTTTTCCAAATCAGACAACTGCAAAAATGCCAGCAAGATTATGTTTTATTTCGGTACATAATCAAATGAGCGATAAAAAAACGCAAATTGAAAGTTGTTGTTATGTTATTAAACTCACAGATTTTAATGGTCTGGGAGTTTCTTCTCGAAGCTCAAGTATGTACTCTGCTCTTTTCTGACCAATTCCCTGCAGTAAATATGTAATGTAAAAAGTTTTAAAACTTAGCAGTAAAATAATTTAGATAAGTTTTCTCAGACACCACTCATTATGAATGTTGTTATACCTTTAGCTGCAGAAGCTCGTCCCTGTTTTCGGAAGAACAGAAAAAGATTCAATAAGTTATACTCATGTTAACAATGAAACAGAAACAGAATTTAAGTCAATACAAAGTTTATATGTTACAAATGTTATTTACTCATATCAATCTGAAACTGAGACTTTGTGTGTGTGTGTGTGTGCGTGTGTGTGTGTGGAGAGAGAGAGATGGGTATGCTTGGTACCAAGCACAAAAAATGGTGCTTGGTAGTGAGGTGTTACATTGCCCTCCACTCATTGAAATTGGGGCCCATACTCACATGGGTTGAGGAGTTGTTGAGAATGACAATGAGTGGATGAGAATGTGACACCTAAGCACCAAATTTGTGCTTGGTACCAAAGCATACCCATTTTTCGCATATATATATATATACTCACATGGGTTGAGGAGTTGTTGAGAATGACAATGAGTGGATGAGAATGAATAGAAAAACAAAAAAACAAAAAAAAGATTTACAGAAATTTCCAGTGTAAAGACGGTTTTTTTTTCATTGTACACCAAAGTGTGTAAGCAATACTCACTTGCTAGCAACGTTCAAGAATGCCAGATACTTCTCAACTAGACCCTCCTGTGTCAAATATGAGATAAGTATTAGCCAAACAAATGGTGAAATTTGAACTCATTATTTGCTAGGAGTGTACTTGTATACCTTCAGATTCGAGCTCAATGCATCGAATTTATCAAATGGGGTGTCAGCCGTTTGAACTTCATTTTGGTCACAAGTTAAGATGCTAGGGGTTTTAGGAGTTTTTGGTTCCAACAAGACAATACAGATTCGATCGTCAGAAGCTGGTTGATGGTTGTTTGCTGCCACATTAGAGGTAACTGGGGATAGAACTTTTCTAATAGACTGCCGTAGCTCTTTTATCTTTTCATTCATTGATGGTGATTCAGTAATATTCATAGGAGATTGTAGATTCTCCTTGTTATACAGTGAGCCTACATGAAGAATGCAACCCATTAGTTCACTTTCAAAGTAGAAACTTCATAAAATTTAATGAATAAGAATATGAAAATACCAGGCAAATCTGGTTGCTTTGAGATGTTAACATCTTCAGTAAACGATGTTCCCTCAAAAAAATCTCTAGCAACGAATGAACAATTATTCAGTTGAGCATCATCTTGGTCTCTATCACGTCCAGTTTCAAGAGGGGCTTTCTGCAACTGATCCTTATCATGCAAAGCCTCTGGGTCGTTTTGATTGGCACTATTATTATTATTATTTGAAGTAATAGGATGTTCATGGAGTATGCGTTCATGTTCGGATTCTTCTACTTCGCAAGAATTAGTTTCCTGTAAGAAGGGAGGAGAAATAAACCATCTAACTAAAAGGTCTTGTAAAAATACATTACACTCTGAAAGCTTGCATGTGCCTTGTTCGAGCTGATAATGATAACCTACCTCCATTTCAGCTGCGCTTTGAATAGCCGAATCAAAAAGTTTTCTGCAAGCAAAATCATGTAAACGAACAAGTCAAGAATCAAACTTGTACTGTGATTTGGACAAAAAGATATGTAGGAAACAAACCTTGCGTTAGTTGTTTTATTCTTTGCTTTTATAGATGGTCGTACTGATTCTGAATTCTTTGAATAGCTTAAAGAGGATGGGGTCCTGCCAAAAGATGGAGAAAATGCTCCAATTCTCTGCACGCTCTTTTTCTTCTTCTCTTTAGATTCAAGCCAAGCTCGTAGCTTTGCTTCCATATCAACCTTTTCTCTCGGGGTCTCTTTCTTACTTGCAGAACCCATGTGATTCACAATGTGTCGAGATCTTGCGGCCAGGCTAACTGTGTGAACAGCTTCTTGGTATGATATCGGATTCTGTAAACCAGAAGCCTATTCACTTCAAGTTGATAATATGACTAGAATTTATTTAAAAAGTAAAGATTCCAGAGCTCTTACAAGGCAAGCAACCATCAAAGCTTGACTAGTCCCTCCTAGAGAATCCTGCAATATTCGGGTCAATTTGCTCTCTCGATATGGAATCCTTGATTCATTGTTATTAAGAGCATATATCACATTTGATAGTGCGAATAGAGACTGGTTGATCTTTGCACTCTCTTGGAGCCTGATTCCATCATTGCCGCTTCTTCTGTTATCCTCGTTACCTGAAAAAGTAGGAATGATTATAGAAAGACTTTGGTAGTTAAATTCAGTTGAAAGAAATTACCTGCTAAATCTATAAGATTTAGCTTTCCTTTAGAATTGCCGTTCTTAACAGAAACGGTGAGTACGCCATGACTTCTGCTGGACACATCATTGAGCCCTGTGTGTGCAACTTTTCTGCGTTGAACCCCAGTTGAAAATATCTCATGGAACTCATCCATTGAGTGCACCTCTACCTTCAATTAGCCAAATATCACATAATATTGAAGGATTAATAATGTTAGTTTGATAACTCAAACATAGGCTTCCATTAAAGTGGCTCCTGAAACGGTGTCACAACACTCTAGAAAGGATCACAGAACGGACTTAATATTAGTTTGACATATGATTAAACCATTACTTAATATCCCCAAAAGAGTGTATAAACTAAATCATTGAAGTGAACCTATTAATTCTTTAATTCTAAGTTAGGAAATGATAAAAAAAATTCACATTGCAGTGGCCTATTATAGTTTGTTCTCTCAATTACTCCCATAGACTTGTGACAGGACAATTAATTTGTCTAGAAGTTTAGGGGCGAAGCATTCCACAAATCTCATGGAACTGCTCAAGAAAAATCTCTTTTGATTCTCACTGTAGGATAGACATGAAAGCTACCCATGTTTCACAAATTGCAAGCCTGGAGTAGTTAATGTCTTTAATGTTTCCAATAAACTTGTAATAATTGACAATTAGAGTCTACATTACTGTAACTATTGTTGAAATGATGAGGAAGTATATGCTAATCTCACCCAAGAGAGTCCCTTGAGCTGAACACGGCCATCCTTGTCATCCAACGCCATGATCTCCTTCGCCTTTGGCTCCAACAAATCATAGCACCGGTCCATATAAACCTCGTAATAAGAAACCTCCACCTTCATCTCTGTATCGACACATGATGTCAAAATGGCCGACATTGCTAACGGAATCAGCCCGGGCTCTTCCTCAGTCCCCTGATTCAGCAAGCCATCGTTGGGGCATAAATTTACAACCCTCAAAAGGGAAATGAAGTTTAAGATGATATCAGAGTAACCCGGGTTCAAATGTCATCAGAATACATAAAATAGCTCAGATGTCTTTCTATGAGAGCCATCAGCAAGAGAAAACATATCAAAAAATAAAATAAAATTAAAACCCCCGATACTCCTCATAAATCCAGAGTTCGGGTATAATGAAAGAACATCAAGACCCACCCCAGCTCAAAACCAGTGCATCCGATAGCTACTCACTTGCATTGTGTAAGTTTTCCCACTTCCAGTAGCTCCGTAAGCGAAAACTGTAGCATTCAGCCCTCGGAAAATCCTCGGGATCACTCTGCTAACTTCCTTATCAAAGATCTGAGCGACCCGATCCGCTTGCCCAAAGAAGGAATCAAGCTTGTAGCACTCATTTCGGCTGCAAAGTTAGCAATCGATAATTTTGAACCCAAAACAAAGAAAGGAATATCCAAAATCAAGAGCTGGGTTTTCTTCATTACCTCGTCCATTGATCTTTGAGGTGAACAGTGACTTCATCGTCGAACCCACGAACGGGGTTTTCGAGAATCGAGATGCAGGATGCCGGGTATTCGTCGGCTGGTTCGATCTCTGAAGGGATGAGGGGGCGAACTCTGAGGACTACTCTGACTCGGGAGGCGAGATCTGAAAGTAGACGATTGGATCTTGGAGTCGTCATTAGAGAAACACGGAGAGGTAGCTCGAATTCGGGCGCAGGTAACAAATTTTCGTCGTTAGTTTCAGTGAGTTTTGATTTTTGACCGTTAAAAATGGGGCTAGAAATTCAAATTTTAAACAGGGTGCGGTCTGGTGTACCGCGGCTCACTGAGGACAATCAAAGAAAGAGTTGGGAAGGGTGGACACGTGGTAGTTATGTACGGGGACACGTAGGTTAACTGATGCTTCTTGCAGTTTATTCGGTTACTTTTTAGTTTTGAGCCGATCCACAGACAGCAGATTGTGTTATTATTTATGAGAAGGAGCAGGGCGTGCAGGTTTCACTTTTGAACAAGTAGTAGTTTTTTCTTCTTTTTTTCAACACTTTTCTTATCTTTGTTTCCGTTTCGTCTGTTCTATGACATTCTCAGATCTTATGAAGGTTTTCCTCATAAGCCGTATTTCACAATATATATATAAAACTAAAAACCATGTTTAAAATAAGATCATTTTACAGAAATCACATTCGAAAAGATGGTTTCTACGAACCCAAACCCCCCAAAATTGCCAACCACCCCCACCCACCCAACTCAGAAAAGGGGGCAAGAGTTGGACTACACTTCGCTAACATTTGGCTCAGAATTTAAAGTACTAGTGTGCACCCCGTGCAAAACACGACCTCTATTTTTTTTTATTTTCACTACAGTAATTCTATATTTAAATACAGTTTTTGTAAGCGCTGCAATATTTTTTTTAATGCTACAGTAATTTATTGTAGTGTGAATAGTAACCTTGTATCCTTATGTTTGTGCTATAGCAAAAAAATATTATGCTTTACTGTAGCATGAATTGTAAATATTGGATCATCTCGTTATTATAGAGGAATATATTCATTTTAAAAAAGGAAAATGATAGGGGCACACCCTCAACCACACCCTCCCTCTCTCTCTTTTGCTACAGTATATCGTGTTCCACATGAGATTTTAAATTTTAGGGGCATGGTATACTATAGCAAAAGAGAGAGAGAGGGTGTGATTGGAGTTATGGTTAAAGATGTGTCCCTAGTGCGACTCTTTTAAAAAAGACAAATTACTCACCGTCTAAAATGAACAAGTAAGGCCTAAATAGCCCTCTTAGCCCAAAGAAGCTTCAAACCCGAATCCCAATTTGCTAAACTGTGCCGCTACCCCCCGGTTCATCTCCCAAAACCCTAGAAACAGCAGGCGATCAAAAAAGGAGAGATTTTTGAGGAAGGAAGGGATCAGAGATGGACAAGAGCATGCTTGGAGATCTGGACAATCTCCCGGAGGAGGACAAGATGAGGATGGGGACCATGATCGAGCAGCTCCAGATCCGTGACAGGTCCCTTTTTTTTTCTCGATCTCCTCTGATTGATGACTAATCCATTGTTTTTCGATCCCTCATCTGTTGCTTTGATGTGTTTTGAACGGAGGAAGTTAGCCCTAGGATGATAAGAATCAATTTTTTAATCTGTATTTTTTTTTTCTAGTTACACAATGAAAACATCATTATTCAGTGGCCCAAACTGGGTAGGCTAGCATTTGTTTGATTTTTGGAAGGGTGGAGTAATTGTATGAACGCTAGCTTAATTGACGTTTATCTGCCGCATGCTTGCTTCTTCCATTGCTCAATGCGAGATAGTAAAAGCGAGTGCCACCGGATTGTAGCGATAAACCCTCTTTTTTGTCGAGAATTAGGGATGGGTTTGGCGTCCAGCATGCGCTAGGCTTCTGCTGCCAATTCCTTAAAATGGGAAAAGAAGCGTGGTGTATCGGAAGAAGGTAACAGACATACCCGACTTCGGTATGATCGACACAGCCATTGTGTGCTTCGTCTATAGTCCTTGTGGTCTATATTTATAGTATGCGTTGCGCCCTACTCTTTCACTTTCTTTTATAAATCATACGTATTTTTGTAGAGAGATCGAATTTCAGTTATATATCTTCCAGAAAGCCATTAACTGCTTCTCGATGTCTAAAACAGTAGAAGCGCAAGGCGAATCGTTGGACCCTTTAATGAGGCGAGGCGTCAGCTTCAAAGCTTTAGTCGTAAGCCTTAGAGCATCTCCAACCCAAAAACCTAAAATGGTGTAGTTTTTACATCAAGTTGGTGTAGTTTTTACACCAAATCACTATTTCATCTCTAACCCATTACACCAAATGTTACACCGAAAAGAATATTCATTTTATTATTCTTATCTTTTAACTTTTTTTATCTATTTAAAATATTTAACAAATTATATAATTATATAATACATTACATATAATTAATTATAATAATATATTTTATGAATAAAATAAAATTATAAAAATTAAATGCTAAATCAAATTAAAATATTACTTTCATAAATTCAACTAAAGATTACATTTAACATCACAAAAGAAAACATCACACTTGCAAGCAAAAAAAAAAAAAAACATTACATTTAACATAAAATAAAACACAGTTTCCATAAAAAGTTTTCACCAAAATAATAATAATAATAATTGCGCCAATGCTACAGTGTTGCACCATTTCTGGCGCAACACTGTAGCATCCCGCTATTTTAGCGGGATGTTTGGCACTCCATTGGAGCGCCAAAACACTCCAAAATGGAGTTTTGGCGGTCCATTGGAGAAGCCCTTATGAGTTTAAGCATTTTAATTTTAAAATCTATAAAAGTTATGAACATATAATATATAGTGATATAATAATTCACAAATAGATACATTCATATCTTAAATAGTAGATAAGAATTAAATATGTAAAGTATAAAAAAAATCCC